AAGGCCTTCAGCCGGCCCTGGCTGCTGCAGGGCCACATGCGGTCGCACACGGGCGAGAAGCCCTTCGGCTGCGCCCACTGCGGGAAGGCCTTCGCCGACCGCTCCAACCTGCGCGCCCACATGCAGACTCACTCGGCCTTCAAGCACTTCAAGTGCAAGCAGTGCGAGAAGACCTTCGCCCTCAAGTCGTACCTCCACAAGCACTACGAGTCCGCCTGCCTCAAGGGCTCCGAACACGGCTGCGCCCTGGAGAACTGAGCCCCGTGGCCCGGGGGAGGGCAGGGGACCGGCGGGTGGAGAAGAGGAGCCGTCGTGGGCCGGCCGGGAAGCAAGGGTTCCCCTCTGCCCTCCTCCGGCTGCTCCCCCGGGGCCTTCTGCAGCTGGGGGCTTGGAGAGAAGTGCTTTCCCGGGGATGCTCCCGCAGACCAGTGCCTGCCTGGGGCAGGGCATGTGTTTGTCTCCTCCGCTTCCCAGCCCGGGGGGATTGCTGTGCAACAAAACTGCAGCCAGAGCCCCTCGCTCCTTCCTCCCGTGCAGCCCTGGCCCGGCTGGCCGCAGCAATAGCTCCTAGGTCTCTAGGGAAATCCCAGCGGGGTTTTCTCCAGAGCGGGGCTGCTGACAGAGTCTCTCCGGGCTGCTCATCAGGACAAAAGAGACGCCGCCGTCTCTCCGAAACTCCTCCTATATTTATTTTATTTATTGTTGTATTTATTTCGTGCTGCTGCTTCTCCCTGGGGGGAAAGGAATGGTCTTTGACTTCAGCAGGAGCAAAACACGCTGGGTTTGCAACACAAGCTGTGCAACCGCCGGAGCACGGACCAGGCCGGGAGGGATGGGGGGCCAGGAGGGAGACCCGGGGGTCTGTGCAACGGACCAGGGGGAAAGCGACAGGAGGCCTGTGGACAGGAGGGGCCTGGGGGGCTGACAGGCACCGCGGCGTACGTGGGCTGTCTCGAATGACCGACGGGCCGTGGCAGGGAGGGAACCTGTGCGGCTGACGGACGGGAAGGCGGGGGTGGTTCTGTGCAATGGACGCACCGAGGTTTTATTTCAGACGCACACCTGGGGGTTTGGAGGGTTTTAGAGACCAACTGCTCTGATGCTGACTGTGGAGCGGGGGGGCCTGGGTGTCACAAAGCGCTGGCTCCCCGGCGAGGCGCGGGGCTGCCGCGAGCCAGCGCTGGAGGACAAGAAACACCTCAGCAGTGTGGGACGGGAACCCGGGAAGGAGGCAGCCCCCTCCAGGGCACCGGGGCAAGGACCCTCAGCTCTGTGAGGATGCAGAAAGCTTCCCCCGGGCCCTCCCAGCCCCCGGCCAGATGCCACGGCCAGGCCGCCGGCAGGGATCGGGGCCCCCCGCGCCTCCCCACGGTCCGACGGCCTCATCCTGCCGGTTGAGAGGGGAAAGGGGCGTTAAATGCTCCAATGCATTCGGTGCCCCCTCCCTTCACCAGCGTGCACACCCCCTGCCATGCCCCGGGAGGCTGTGATGTCACATGCTGTTGCGGTGACATCATGCTGAAGGCCGAGCCAGATGGGCCCACACCCTGGAAAGGCCTCGCTCAGAGCCCCCGGCATGCAATGCCCAGGGCCCTCGGCGCCCTCTCGATGCAGACAGACTGGGCTGACGGGGCTAGAACGGGTCCCCCCGTTACCTCTTCCCACCCCAGAGACGGAGTCTCCGCCAGCCGGAGTCGGGGAGAGGAGGGAGTCCTGGGGTTGCTACTGTGAAGTCTGGGGGTGGGGGGAAGGGGCTATTTAAATGCTCTTATTTATATTATTTATAATTTATGCTGTTTAACTATTTATTTGCCAAGACACAAGGGGCAGCGCTGGGTCCCAGGGCTTCTCCATATGGGTCCCCAGGGGAGCGTTCAAAGCTGCTGGCACAGCCACCAGTCCCAGGGCAAGCTGGGGGAGGGCCGGCAGGGCAATGACTTTGCTGCCCAGGACACAG